CTCCCGAGTTGTGTAGTGAACAAGAACATCAGTGGAGACAATCGAATGTATTTAACACTTAATTACAGGACTTGTTATTAAAATCTGACAACCAAAAATAAATGCTTAGTTTGCAAAATGTCCATCAATTGTCTCAAAATGCCTCAGACTTCATTGTTCTTGCATCTTCAGACGAACTGCATTTTGTTTCCATTCTTTGCTGTTCGATCCTCTTTTTTCCAAACCTTCTGTTTACGACTAACATAATATACTACTTATGTCAATATAAGTAGCACACACCGCAGTTGTTCTCACACCTACCTTTCTTGTCCATCAGTTTGTTTATTCAAATGTTGAACTACTAAAGTAAATCTTCTAATTTAGTGTATTTTTGGTTTCAAAAAAGATTTGCAGTTGTGGTTCAGTTTTATTCTTATGTAATATTAGTTATTAAATGTCAACAGAATTCCGGTCATGGGAAGCGCGTTAAGTATGCATTTTCGCTGAAATCTAAAATATGAAAACGTTCTGGAATTGTTCTGAATAGACTTGTTAGAGGCCTAAAACGCGAGGTTGTCGGAAAGTTGACATCTTTCTGGTGCGGAAGACATAACTGCAATTGAGTTGCTCAATTTTTGTTACATAACGTCTGTTTAAAGTATGTAGCATGGACAGTTGAATTTTCAGATGAAGCTGCTTTATGGGAGTAACTCGGAAATGCTTAATGAAATTTCACCCGTTTGAGTTCCGCAAGCATATAATGATTAGAAATAAATGAATTATTGTATCAACTATGAATCCTCTAAATAGCTCAGTTTGTACCGAGTACAACTAGGTGGGCGAAACAAAACGTATTGTATTTAGAATTCAAAGTCAGGCACACATCATTTACGAAAGAATCACTAGTTCATACAAACATCACAACCACTGCAACCACACCACCATCTAAGTTTCTGTAATCAACTGAACGTCTTCTTAGTTTGATTGTATGTCCGTCAGACTGTGTACTTGGTACAGATTCTGTATGATTTAGGATATGCTCAGTGATATCGGAATTAACAGCTCAAATTGGAGCGGAATCATCAGTGTCCTGGAATTTTACATGACCAACATGTAGTTTGTGTACTGGAAGCACGGATACCTAGAACTGAGTCCATAGACTTTCCAACACTATCCTCCGCCAAGAAATAATGTAGAGTCCTTACGTTGCAATGATATGATCAATTTGACGTTTGCAATTTGCATTATCTTCTCATGCTGTGATTCACCTTGGCTTGATTTGCCTGCAAAACAATTAAATGGAAAATATACGTCTGCCTCACAATCATTAGGATAGTCTTGAACTTAACTTGAATTTTCTGCCTGTGTGAACATCATACCTGAGTAGACTGGTTCTATGACTGCTTCGGAAAAACTTGCAATTACCTTCGGTTCATCATATCACTGACTAGGAAGCCTATTCTTCATACATTGGTCGTGGAAATATCCAACATCAGATGAAATAACATAAGAAATATGACTCATTCAAAACATATTTGTCACATGCATTAGTAACATCACCATTGGTAAGTTCATCGTGAGAACAATATCATCTGATGCGACACCATAAGGACTGTAATTAGATTTTAGCTTACCAAGAACCCGTTCCTCATATCAAATTAGAATTTCACTAGAATTAAGTGAATCATTAAAACAAACCATTACTGATAAAATAACATCATCTAGTGCACTCGTCATACTTTCAGCATATTTTTAAATAATTTCAATAGAAATACATGAATCATTAGAACAACGCATATCTGGTAAAATTATATCATTATTCTGATGTTGATATGATTTACTTAAAACATTCACTTTAATAGGATCGAAATTACAAAGTTTAGCATTACTTGCATCGAAATGAATAGTATTCTCGTGCAGGTTACCATCGTACTATTGATAGAAGAAACCTGACCAGTGGTGAGTAGATCTTTATTCAGCTCGTGGGAAAGTTATAGTGGAGCGTTACCGATTCAAATTCACAAAGCTTTTCAACATCTAATATAAGGTGATAGGAAATGTAATGTCTATACAAAGTAAGGAAGTGAATAAATACTAGAGCTCTATTGTTTTGACATATTCTTGGTTTTTTGAGGTAAACTCTTAAATAATTAACCCAAGCTGTAACAGTAATATTATGAACTGACTGAACGTGTCAAATTTTACCACACTCGAAACATTTGGCATTATGCATTGTACGCGGATAACGTGAGTGAAACTTGCCACTGAACAAACGTTTGCCGAACTTGTGCTCATCTTCGTGATCTGTTTCGCAACTCCTCAGTTAACTGCTATCTGATAAATTTCAGTAAACACTCGATTGGGATAACGTAATAACGCAGTGGAGTTCTTGATAACCTGACGAATCATTTTACGAAGTTGCCCTCTTTTACCGCACTAGAAATTTGTGCATTTTACATGGTCTGTTAGTAGTTCCTTGAGAGTTGCGTAGTAAAGTGAAATAGGCTTTTCTGGAAATGCCAACGTTTTTATTTAACTGTAGGTTTCTTTTCTGATGAGTCTAAGGAAATGAGCCACAATATTAACATTCTTAACATTTTTTTCTTGACCATATTCCAGGTTTCATAGTTTCACATAATCCTCTAAATCATCAAAATCTAAATGTTTGTCCAGCTGTTCCATCAGAGGTTCCATCACGACACCAGTTTTATAATTAGTAGACGGATTATTACACGAGCTAGGAATCCCAGAAATAGCACAGTTTGAACCAAATAGAACTATTTGAGTACAACAGAACGTATTGTGTTTAGAATTTGAAATCAGGTACACATCAAATACAAAAGAATATTTAGTTCATACAAACACCATGGAACACCATACCAAAACTAGTGGTCTCCATCTATCAGGATAAAAGAAATTGTTACATAGAATTTCCTTTCCACGTATTTCTACAGGCTATTTATATAAGACTGTTCTCTGCATAAACCAGCTGTTACGTTAGCCTCTGAAATATTAGGCATTATATAAAATAACTATGATTCACTAACTCATCAAAACTGTGAGAGCAGTATCTAAGTCACAAGTAAGAAATCCTATATATCTGATAGTACTATGAGTATAAGAGCAGATGCTGCTGACTCAATGGCTGAAAGAAGTGTATTAAATAGATGGATAAGTAACGGTGACAAGTAGCATTTTTATTTGAGCTGGGGCTAGACAAAGGAAATAAGTGGGGCGATTTTCACTGGGGATAGCTATTTTCGTTGTTTTTTCTATTTTTTATTTTTATTTATCAGTTTAAAGACATTGCTTTATGAGAGTATTCTTGATATCTATGAACAATCAAAAAATTCCGTACATGTCTAGTTTTCTCCAAGATTAGTACTTCCAACGTCCGTTGTAATCTATAAATGTTTTACCTACACTTGCATTAATGAGGTGTTGTGCATATGGACAGATCAATGTGACTACTAGTGTGAAAACAGACCAGATGATGTCAAAGACGTCAATGTTTTTACCTATAATTTCCTGTAAACTCTACATGGAGTAGCTAAATTTCGGCATCCTTAACTATCACACTCGGGATGAGAGGCATAAGCACAAGCAGACATATTAAATGCCGTCAGAAGCGTTTTAAACATCGGGATAACTTTACTGTAGTCATCTGTGCTAAAGCTATATAGTTTCTTTTTTGCTAAAAATGGCATACAATCATAACAGCAACGACCATGAACATGTCGGACCTGTAAATGCAGTTATGATGTGAATTATTTTCTCTCATTAATTTTTAAGTACCAAATGGATGGGAAGGAATGCTTTCTGTCTTGGTAATAGTAGCGTTTCTACATCTTCAATATTTGCCCAAACTTCACTAGACAACGTCAACGGACGGTTTTGGTTACTTTTGATCATGCTTTTTGCAAGAGATTTGCTTTGAATGTCAATGGGTTTGCAAGTTTAGTAGAACATCTGTTGTTGAGGATTGATCACAATGTGACAGTACTATCAAAATTTAAGTAACTGTCTCACGAATATGTGCGTTATGCTATATTAGATCATAATATTGACGAACCTTGAAATGCCCATGAACAACGCACAATTATGAGGCAAAATCCTACCTTATCAACCAAAACAACAAGCAAAACGACTGAGTCTATGATAATTTGAAAATAAGAAATGTTTTCACTAGTAAACTGGACGTGCTGTTTTGCTAAAAAAACGACAAAGCCTTACGATGTACACATCGAATCAGATGGTAATCGAATGAAAATTACCTCTAACCCTTTAAAGCTAAAAACCGAATTTTTTCTGGTACACATACCCACTGGTGTTCAGAGTGTAGCGGTAAATAAATCCCCAAAATAAATAGTTCTAAGTTTTCGACATTGGATGCTGACCATATGTTTTAGCGGACTCATCTAGCTGAAGGTACTCGGTCAGGCATCCGCACCAGATCACGTGTGGTAACGCCGTGCTCAACATCAACCGCAATCGCTAGCCAGATTAGATCAGAGAATTCCGATATATTGGTCATCGCCAAATATACTCTTCCGATCTCCTCGACTCTGTCTTTTGATTTCTCTGGGTGGGAACGAAATACATTAGAAGGTGTTACTTGTAGAAGCGTTGTCAAACACTGAATACCTGTGACATCATCAAGAGTATTGATAGTATTACTTCCTGTCATTATGAGATGATACATGCGTCAATGATATTGCTTATAACAGTGCGTGAAGTTAACGTAAATAAGTTTTTTCTTTAGAAATTCATTGCAACTGATATGTGGCAAGTAATCAAGAACAACTTACAGAAACAATTGTTAAATGGCGAAAATAAGTGATTTTGGAGCTAGCTTCTCTAAATGAAGATTAAAATTTTTCTTCTGCGTCAGTATATTCGCCTAACTAAGATTTGAATCATAATCAACTGTGACACGTGATTAATGGTTTATTTGTTATAACTCATCACACTGTTTTGATTTACGAGAAAAAAACACGCACTTTTTTAAATTCTAATTTACGATGTCGCTTAACACAGCTTACGCAAGTACAATACCAGCAGTTTTCAAAATCGTTGAGATTATTCTCAATATTATACTTATCATTCTTGTTGCTGTGTCACCGAACTACGTCATTCCTGGCCCTGGAGGATGGTTATTCTTCGTTGCAATCTTGACTACATTGATTTCATTGTTTTTCTATTGTATACACCTTACAAACGCAATATACAGGTTTTCGGGGCCTATGACACTAATTGTAAGTTTAAGTTCAGTTTATAGCGGTTTTTGCGTAGTATTCTCGAAACATGTCGATATATCAACTGAAGACTTTGTATATAAAACGTAAGATCGGTGACATATTTTCAAGTATTTTCTCAGCTCTTCCCGCATCGATAAAGATAAAGAGTTATTTAGATGCAGGATACTAGCAACTGTGCGAATTATTTTTATTCCTTTCTATATGAGTACTCCGTATGATATCTTGTTCGAGGCTATATTTTCATCGTTCATACTTTACTCGGGGTTTCTTAGAACCTAATTTATCCGTTCTTGGTAATGATTTGACGGTCTTAGTTTTCAAGTGCGCGTTTCATATAGCTGGTTTGTATATCTTGGTAGAACTATTAATTAATATTTTATAAAATAGTTACGAAGTTTTTTTGAGTCATTTTATTAAGTGTTTTAGAATGCTTATGCTTTAATGTCTGAAAATATCTGCTGTTGTATATCAAAGCGATGTGTCTAGAGTATTATACTATATCAATTAAGATCATAGGTAAACCTCTTTTAAATTAAACAATTACTATGTATTTGGTATCATAATAAACAGAAACGAAATATCCGTTCATTCTTATTCTAAATGCTTACAAATCCGAAACATATTTAAAATGTAAAATATGTTTTATCTTCATATCTTCTATTTGCTTTCATATCATTTTGTTCGTAAAAACCCGGATTCGCGTATTATTGAGTGTTGTGCAGTTCAACAATTGTATTTTAAAACAGTCGTCAGAATGCTGGTGTGTTAAATGACAAACAATACATTATAAACAGTTAAGTTTTGATGTATACAATGTGCAATTTTCTAAACGGTACTTTCAAGAAATTAACTACACTGAGTAAAAGGAACAAGTACAGAACCTTTTTCATCATCGCAGTGCGGACACCAACAAATCGCTAATTTGTATATGCTCCTTTTTTATAGGTTCATATAACATTCGAGTCGAAATTTATGTGAAAAGGTAGCAAAAAATACTACAGTTTCCCTGTTTGAAATGATTTTGGTAAATCCATAGTTGTTTCAAATGTTTTTATCCAAGGTGGAAAGCAAATGTAGTTCTATTCCAACTTCGTTTACTTTGAAATGTACGTAAGGTTGTTTTTGAGTAGAAAGCTAGTGGCAGGCAGACATTTGGATATGATTATCTATTCATATGTTGCGCATCCCTTTAATTTGTAATGTAGAGAATGGCCTCTAAGTTAAAACACAACCTGTTTCAGTGTTGTTTGCAGAGTGCTTTCGTTGAATAAAAGTTTCACAGTTACAAAAACGGAAGAGAGCAACTGAAGCCATTTATGCTGATTGCTTTAAGCTGTGTAAACCTAATTTTTTCCGCGTTGTTATCTGGTGTGTTTTTACGGCTCATCGTATAACAGATAATTTTGACCATATATTGTTTTTTTATATTAAAAATTGTACTATTGGTTCAGAGTGAATAGGCAATAATCTTGTCAACAAATAGTATTATTTGATGTATATCTAATGTTTTTCGAATGATCAACTTAATAAAATATCAAAACACACATGGAACCTTATATTTCAAGAAAAAGTTTTATGATTTATAGGAAACAAATATATTCTACTGGAGAAAAAATATCCAGGGTAAAAATAATTAACAAAATATTTTAAAACTAGGGTAACATTTTCAAACAAACCTTAGGATATACTAAATATAAATCATATAGTAGGTATGAACCTCTCGTTTTGTAGTATGTTACTATTTATTCTGTTAATTTTGTCGTTTAAGATTATCAAACTCTGCGTGCAAAAACAATATGTCTAACCTTCCATCCTTCCCTGATCCTAATTCCCTTCTAGAGCATAATCTTGTTTATTTTCCCTGTTTTTGCTTTAAATTAGTGTTTTGTGATTTTATATCGTAATCAATTGTTATCATCATCTTCTGACAATTTTTCATGATAATTATTTACTTATTATTATGGTCTTTGTGCTTTTCGTTTTTTTTCATATTTGTGGAGCGGACAATTACCTTTCATAATTCTGAATCATAACCATTTTCACTCTTCTATTCTTATCTACTCCTGATTATTATGTAACCTTATTAGATAATTGAAGTCTCGAATCACTTTTTGATGCAATCTTTTCTATCATTTTCTAGGTCTATATTTACTATACAAATATGTATATGAAATGTTAAGCTTCAGTAGATGATATCGTCGAAAAAAGACGTCGCTCAATTTTCTTTGTTTTTCGTGAACGACACAATGGTCTATCTTAATTATCGAGTTTTAGCCTTTACCAATCGACTGATCACGAAATAATGCTCAATATCGTGTTTATTTAGTTGTTTAGTGCTGATCAGATTCTGTTGGTTAACTTACAAGGTCAGCGCTGGTGTCTGAGTGCCGTGGGATTACATGCGTTATGCTAGGGAGTTACGTGATTAGAGATGGTCAGTAGAAAACCTTGAGCCTGGATTTATTTTACGCGCACCTCTGGTGATTGTAGGAACTGATGCTGAGTGTGAGGCTTATATCTACATCTCTGGTTTTCTAGCGAACACCATTAATTCCTTAATATTAAGCCGTCTCACAAAACTCAACCGGTCTTTTTGGTTGCGTGCCCAGACATCTCTCTCAGATCTTGGTTGTAGTTTTTCCTTATCTTCTTACCAATTTAAATAGCAAAAATAAATTTACTGAAATTGACAGATATGATACAGTTTTTGATTATAATAAGCGTTTTATCCTTGCATAGTTTCATTTAACTGTGAATTTCTCACATTGATTCTATCCATTTTCAACTTGTTTAAAATTCTGCAATGGAATTCAAGTAATCTTTTTTCATTTGTTCTTCTTAGTAACTCGCACTTGCGTGATAAACTGTACTTTTAAAGTGAATTTTTAATAATCAGCCTCTTTAAGATAATATCCTACTTTTAGTTTTATAAATAATTGTATTAATTAGTCATATTTTGTTTTCTATCAAGCGAAATAAAAACTAGTTAGGAATATTCATTGAAATAACAGTATAAGTATTCTTAAAAACATTAGGTATGTGAATAAGTGAATGTCGGAATTATGCCTACTGTGAGTGTTTACAGAATAAACTAATAGACAAAACGGTGACTTTTTAATTGATCGATCTGTTAATAGTGACTTCTATTATTAGGCTTGGATATCAATGATTTTTAATATTCATATGAAGGTATTAAAACATTTAGCAGTCCAACTACAGCTAAATAAATGGATGTTTGGCGGACAAAATGTAGGCATTCCTACAACAGGTTTGTGGAGACAACTAGCACCAATAACTATCTTCAGACTACAATTTGTGGAATTCTTTTGAGAAGCCACTACTAGTGCACCTCAACCATGTTGCATTTGAGGCAGTTACTCATCAAGTGCTTTGGAAGTTGATTTTGCGCCATTAGGAATGAGAGTTAATCATTTAAACCGTTGTATGTCGTAAAGGTGATCTGAAGGTTAAGTGTGCACATGCAAGACCAATGGTTTTGTATTTGATTCCCAATAAGGTCATGGGTACGTACTGCTGTAAAGTTTTACACTAGCAAGAAACGCCCTTTATGGGCTTGGTTTGGAATGGTGAGATTAGTTAATTATTTGAACTCTTAAGATCTAAGTGCTGATTGTAGTTTTTGCAGTTGATGGTACCGTTTACTCAATTTCGCATGTCAAAGAATGTACTTCTTAATTCAAGTGAATAATTAAGGTAATCTATAAGAAACAATTATCGGCTATGTATTTGTCTATCTGCATTTTTCTCCTCACTCCTTTACATTCATCTTTAATATCATATTAATGATAGCAAAAATAACTTGTACAAATATTTTCATGATAAAATTGTATCCCATGTGGAGTCACAGAAACCTAAGAACTACTTAGCTATTTTATGTTATTTCAAGATTATTTAACAATGTTTTAGACGACAATCGTGAATTGATTTACATGCGAGATATTTAAGTCATACGGTTCGTGGTGATTACTGCTAAAAAGTCACAAATAGAGAACTATTCAATGCACTTCAACTTTTATTGATTTTTCAACTAAACTGACTATTTAAATCACTAACCGATCTAAGTGAGACAACATTAGAAACCTAAAGATACTAAACGGTCGTTTCTTTCTAGTATGAAGGTCCCTAACTGTACACATCAATGGCGCTGCAACCCGTAACTGAGCTTAGGTCCTGCGTCCTCCCACACGGATGCCCAAATCTCTTAATAACTGAGTTGGTGTCCATTGGTATACGAACCTAACAGCAATCAATCCACGACATTGTCTGATGACCTCCAGTTGCATCCATTGGGTATCTCTTTCACCGATACTCATAAAGTTCAACCTCGATGTTAGACACCAGTGAGCACATCATAATTGTCTGTATGTGATTGTGAAGGTTTTTGAGTTTCATTGGAAGCACATCCAGTGCTTCCAGATTTTCAATGGCTGACTTAGATCAACTCGTAATTTCAATGAAATTCCAGTCATCATAATCCTATACTGTTGACAACATTATATCATGATATAAATTACCGATGAATTGTAAGAAATTTCCACCAAAATTACTATACATTATTTTGTGTAAGTAGGCTTCATAAATGTTTTGTCAAATCCAAATGTTGAACATTTATGATTGAATCAATTAAAAGATTAGATTGAATAATTGGCGTATCATATATTTTAGGGTATTTCTCTAAAAAATCAAACTATGTATAAAACAGAATATGTTTTTGAGATGTAATCTACTGAATTCTAGTGATATCTTTAAAAGTAGTATGATAATATGCCAGCGTTAACTATACACTTGTTCACTTCCTATTGGTCTACAAGCAAAAGGTCTATATGAAAACTGATGAAAAGACCTTACAAATATTCATTTATTTGGCTTGATGAAAGTATTTACAGAATAAAACTATTCATTAATTTTAAGGTAATAAGTAAGAATACATGTAAGGCAATAGTTTAACTTATGAACTAACCATTATTTTCTGTAAG